AAAAAACCGTTCCATGTTGAATGAAAAACCCACTTTTTAATGAGTGAACCTGCAACAATAGAAAAAGTAGAATGTTGAAAAATGGGGGTTGGGGTGGAAAGTTTTCGATTTATTCAACATTATAGATTAGAAAAAACGCTGTAGTTATCTAAGAATTTTTTTTAACAACTGCTATCAGCGGTTGCTGGCTGCAATCAAAGCTTCTCCGGATTGTAGTTGAAAACAATTATCATTCCGCAATAAAGTTACAAAAAACTTGCATTACCTTTCATATAACTTAAAATTAAAAATAATATAAATGTTAAGAGGATTATACACTTTTAATAACAATAATTACAAACCTTTTTACTGTCACTAATCGCAATTAGCATTAAGAGATAAAATTGTAATTTTAAAAATTTATTTTAGGTTTAATTTTTTTCTACAAATTATTCTCGTTTACTTGAATTTTATTTTTTCTTTCAGAACGTTTTTGAAGAAGTGCGTGTCATCACCAATTAATAAAAGGGTTGAATAATTTATAACTAGGATCTATAGTCTCACATATAGGTTCAAGTTAAATACAGTAAATATGGTGATATAATCAAACACCTGCATATCCGCTAATTAATTATATTGGATTTAAAAGCTTAGACAAATAATTTCTTGTTATTCTTGTTGTTAAGACCTTCTTATGTATTTTTTTATTATAATTCTTTAAAATATTTCAAGCCACTAAAATATGTTTTGCTTAACAACATAATTATATATTTATTGTATATCTGTTGTTTAAATAAAGTGCAAGGGTAGAGCTATGATCTGATTGCATTTTATAAAAAATTAATAAAAGTTCAATCAAGTTTTTTAGGATATCTTACGCAATGCAAAATATGTAACAGACTGTATAATTAATGAAGAAAAATAACTTAATAATCCTTTTTGCAAGTATTACAAGTATTAAGTCATAACAGTTGGAAAAGCTGTAGTTGTTTGCGAACATTTTTTTATAATCATTTATAAGAATGTCAATATTAAACTATTTTAAATAAATTACTTTAAAGTAACGGCCTTGTTTGATCTTATCAAAAACGTAGTACACAGTTGCACAGAATCAACTATATATATATATATATATATATATATATATATATATATATATATATATATATATATATATATATATATATATATATATATATATATATATATATATAATAAAAATAAATTTGCAAGAACAAATGTAACTGATGCTAGCTAACTTGAATAATTAATAATTGACGTCAAAGGAATTATTTAAAATAAGAAACGCAAGAAAAGAGCAATAATTTGAAAATCTTTAGTTATTTACTTTTCTCCACACAAAAAAAATGAAGATCCAAAATTAAAAGATAAATAAAATGGGTAGATAATAAACTGTATTTTCAGTTTAAATCAATACTTGATTGAGTAATCAAATAAATAAAATCAATTAACAAATTTTTTCTTAACAAATTTTTCAAAAAATTATTTACTTTTTTAGTCATTATAAGTTATATAAGTTATATATATATATGTGTATATATATATACATATATATATATATATATATAATATATATATATATATATATATATATATATATATATATATATATATATATATATATATATATATATATGTATATATATATACACATATATATATAACTTATCTCTATTATTCAGTAATATTGAGCACTGTAACACGTACAGAGACTTCGTATTATTAGATCAAAATACTTAACATATTCTACATATCGAATCTATACAAATATATATATATATATATATATATATATATATATATATATATATATATATATATATATATATATATATATATATATATATATATATATATATTAAATATTTTGCCGTTTAATATTGGAATAACTTAATATATTTTACAATTTTTACATTTGTAACGACAGGACTTCTAGAAGATTATGAGGATCTTGTCATGAAGCCCTTTACAATATATAGTTAATTTTTAATAAAAATACAACGTCTGTAGTAAAATAATGATACACCTTTATGCAAAAATATTTAAAAACCAAGATAAAATGTTAAAAAGCCAAGATAAAATGTTAAACCAAATAATATACAAAATAAAACAACAGCAACAACAAAAAAAGCAATTAAAAATAAATCAAGATATTTTCAATTAGAAATATAATTTTTTTAAGTTTCTGTTTGAATGAAGCAAATGTCAGTTGGGTGGAAAAATCAAAATTTGGTAAGACTATTTTGTTCCAGAGATAAGAACCTCGATAAGAAACAAAAAACTGGTCTTTGCTTTTACGACAAAAAGGGGCAATAAGACTGTTATTAATTCGAAAATTATATGTGTTTTTAGGTTTCATACAATAAAAATTTTGTAATACATTTGGCGACAAATTTTCTCTACATTTAAACATGAAACATAAAATATAAAGACATTTAGTTGATATACATATAAAATATTTATTTCTTTAAAAAGCTGTTTCGTATGAAAATATATCGCGGATAAATAAATAAATAAATATTTCGTATGAAAATATATCGCGGATCTAACTTTTTTTGTTACTTGAGATAACTACTTTTTAGACATGGAACAAACTCTAAAAATTTATATGTTTATACTTATGTCATATAAGCATGCTTTGCAAAAAATTACGATGATTGAGAGCCTGGGAACTAAAAAAGCCCTAAAATAACAACCCCAAAGGTGAGAGAAACAAATTGAAAAAATAATTTTTTTATCATCGTTAGCTAAAGTTCATTCATCGATTAGTTTTAAACTTCATTGTATAATCTTTCAGCGTTCAAAAATTATGACCATATAAAATTTAAATCCCCCTCAATTTAAGGAGATACAAATTTTATATGGTCATTACTTTTTAATGTTAAAAGAACTTGTTGCTCTCACGTTTGGGGCAGTTGTGACCTAAATTGTAGGTTTCTTTGTTCTCAAACTCCAATAATCTTAAATTTTTGAACAGCATCTTGAATTGACGTAAGTATAAACATATAAATATCTGGCATTTGCTCCATGTCAGAAAGTTAGCAAATATCAAACACCAAAAAATGCTGGATATCCGCCTCTATATACACACACACTCACACACATACATACACACAAATATTTGTTTGTGTGTATGTATGTGTGTAAAGTTGTAAAGTTGCTTATGACTTTACGTCAGCATAAAATGTGTTAATTGGTACAAACATATATATATATATATATATATATATATATATATATATATATATATATATATATATATATATATATATATATATATATATATATATATAATATATATATATATATATATATATATATATATATATATATATATTTATATATACATATGTTTGTACCAATTGACACATTTTATGCTGACGTAAAGTCATAAGCAACTTGCACCCTTTGTTTAGCTTATTACTGATGTAATGAGAAAAGCTAAAAAGATACTTTGCACATTAATTTGATTAATTTGCAATTTTAACTAATTATTAATCAATTTGAACAATTAAAGCTTTTGATTTAAAAGCTAAAGAAAAAATTTACAAAACAATTACAACTATTAATGTACAATAAATTTAAACCCGATAAACTATAAAAGATTGATAAAATCTTAGAAATTGATATAATATTCCGAATTGATAAAATATTAAAAATAGTTAAAATATTATAAATAGTTAAAATATTACAAATTAATAAAATTTTGAATTTATTAATTATTATTAACTATTGAAATATACCGCACTTAAACAGAAAATTAGTAGCAAGCAAATTTTTCCTAACTCATTGCATCGATACCTGTAGCATGTATAAATCAATTATCACTATATGTTTTTTAAATTTGTTTTTTAAGTATTTTCATAGCAGTATTCATAGTTTATCATTTTATTTATGTTTAAGAAAGAAAGAAAAGTGTTTCCTTTTTTTCAGAAACATGTATTTGTTTTTCCGAGTGATGAATGTCAAACAAAAAATGATAAAAACGACAAAAAAAAAACAAAAATTTAAAAAGTAAAAATGAAGTTATTATTAGCATAAGTTATAAAAAGCACAAGTGTCTAATATATTCTATTGGAGATGGACAAGATAAGTTAAACAAACTAAATTAGTTTTGTTTAATTATAGACTCCATAAAGTGTTTATGATATTTGGTAGTACTTTTAAGAATAGTCTAAAAGTTTTATTTACTTTTTAAAAGTTTTTAACCAAATGTTTTTAATATAGAGTATTATTATATTAGTTAAAAAGCTATTGATAATTTCACCAAACATTTATGACTAGACCGGGATTTAAACATGAGACACTTTTATCTAATGTTCAACTAACCACTGTCACAACGCAATGACTGCAACAGGAGTGAACTAAAAAAATATTGTTCAATTCTTGTAAGTTAAAAATTTAAACATTTTAATGAGTTGACGATATAAACTAGGATGGTGTTATTATGTTACCTTGAAGCTGAACATTTATTGTGAGTATAACATACAAAAATTTAAAAAGCAATCTTTAGCAATTTCAAACTTCTTGTTTTTTCACTTTATTCTATTTCAGTCTTTCTAATCAACACCCTAAAACATTTTATTCCAAAAAGATTTTGTTGAAATTTTTTCTATAATAATCCTTAAAATCCTTTCTTTTTTTTTTTTTTTTGAAATACTTTTACACATTTAATGTTTAAATTATTCTAACATAATTTAGTTTGGATTCTTAAATACTTAAATTAATAAAAACATATTAAATTAACGTTTAATAAAATATGTTTAAAGTAGTTAAAAGAAAAATATAATCATTTTGAAGTTTTAAAAAAAGATTTTACAGGTTTATAACGTGGTTTTTACTTTTGAAAGGTTGTTCTCAACCGTCCTGGAAGAACCAACTTTTGTACTGCAGCAAGCTTTTATACTTGCCTTTGTATTGCAGCAAGTTATTTTCGATGGTTTTAAACAACAATATTTTTAAAATTCTTAATTATGTACCGCAAAGAATTTTTAAATAACTTATTCATAAAAATAATATTTTCGATATTTATATAGTATTTACAGTATTTACACATTATAATAAAAAAACTATAAATATATTTTAAATCAAAAAGCGTATTTATCTTCAACACACTTCATCACAGGCGTAGGAACTGAATTTTTAAATATATCAATCCATTTTCCGTTATTTAAACATATAAATACACTTGCACTTTCTGGCATAGCCAACCTATAACCAATTTCGCATTCAGGAAGACACATAGATCGTGAAAAATTTTCTCCAGCGCTGCAAACAAAGCGACCGTGATCTGGTATGATAACTCGCGGACATTTTAGATTCTTTGGAACATTGTATGAAAAATCACCTGAAAAATAAAGGTTTTAAAATCGTTATTTAAAAAAAAAAAAGCAAAAATTTATATAAATAAATTTAAATACACTAGATTTCATCCAAAATTCAAAATCAAACTCAATTTACCTTCCCAAGTAAATCTGTACTTTTTGTCAGATCTCCAATTGTCCGGGGTCAAAAAGTTGTTGATTATAGCACTCTGACTTAATGGTTTCATCTCTACTATCACAGTCAATATAAGGGAACAAGCTAAAAATTTAAACATCTGTTCGATCCGCACTGGAGAAAATTTTTTTCTTTTTTGCTGTTTATTGGGTTTTACGTTTTTATTAAGAACCAAACTACAATAAATTTATAGTATTTTTTATATCTATTGTTCCAAAGGTTTTTATTAATTGTCTTCGTATTAACAGTGATTTATTAATTGTCTTCGCATTAACTGTGATGCATATGCATTTACACATTAAAATAGATTTAAATCTCTTAAAAAAGGGTTTTCATTGAATTTTTTATATTGAGAGTATGGGAAAATTGATCAGTTATTTTAAGAATTTGCCGTAAAATGTTTTAAGAAATGAAGCTTGATGTCAATGAAGCGTTGGATGATTTTAAAAATAACCCAGCGTATGACTTATTTTAAGTAATCGCTTATAGGTCTTTAAAATTAAATTGCAGCCTTTTTTTTAAACATTGTATCAAAGATAAATTTTAAAATCACGAAAATTTAGCTTTACGTTATTTTTATTTAAAAAAATAATTATAACAAATTTCAAGAGTTCAAATCCGATAAAAACTATGATTTTAATTTAAGTATCCAACAGAGCAATTAATACTATTTATGTAGTTTGTATTCGAGACAACAATTATTCTTGCGATTTGATTCGGTATCAAATGTATGTTGGATACCAAGTACACACCACAAGTATTATCAAATTTATCAGCTGGATATCTCTTATAAAAGGTCATCCGGCTAACGTATTAATACCTAATAAAAACAAATAAATGTCTTTAAAAAATTGTTTCTGTTTTGACAGTAAGCCCTCCCCTCACATAAGCATTTAAGTAATTACAAACGTGGTATGTCGGTGGTAGAAATTAGGATGGGAAGGAATAGAGAGACAGTTTTTCATCTACACAGTCAGTTTAATCTTGCAACATTAAAAAGGATTTTAAAAAAAATTAAATAGTCAAGGTATTTTTAACTTCTTAATCTTTTCGATAATATTTTTAAGTTAAAAATAGTTCCGTAGAAAATTGACTAATTTTTTTTCAAGTCCGTATAAAACTGTCGGTTCGATGACAAACTTAATCTCACCAAAAAAAAAAAATTTCTTGAAAGGTTATTTTTAATATATTCAAATACGAAAACTCATAAAAATTTCAACGAAAACTTTTTGTGAAAGCACCTTTATAAAAATTTCAAAATAGCGTAAACAACGTCGATTGCTCGTGGATGAATTACAATTTAAATTTATAAAAACGATTACTTTTTAAATAATTTAAAATACGAATTTAATCTAAAAAAATATGCATTTTTTAACTGAACAAACGTTTATTTTGTACACTTTTAATTAGAACCCTCCCCTCCCCCCCCTCCTCTCTCTCTTCCGCGCTTACTCATGTTTAGTTTTGGTTTTTATTTTACGTTTTATTTTTGCTAAAACAATACTTTTATTTGTCCGGAAACTAAAAAAGATTTTCTTTTTTGCAAAAAAAAATTGTTATTGCAAGTAATTAAATTTACAAAAAAAAGTTGCAAAAATGTTGATGCTAAATATTTTTTTTACAAACTCTAAGTTCGTTTTGCGTGTTACAAAACTAAATGCTAAACAAACTACAATATATGTTATTACAATATTAATGCAATAATTCTAAATTTAATTGAGATAAATCATAATTAATAAATAAATTACAATAATTAATAATTTGATTGAGATAAACCATAATTATGATCGAGCTTGTCCCAATAACGTCAAAGGCTATTGCTGCATTCATTGGAAGCTAGCTTCTAATTTGGCAAAGATAATAAAAATTTAATACTGCAGTTAAAATATTTTTGTGACAGAATTATATCCTGCCATTTATTCCAATAAATTTATTACTTAATCGATAAAGTTATGGTGTTATTTGCAGTGATTACCTATTAACTTATGTAAATGTTTATGGTGGCTGCATTGTGAAATTTTGGCATTTAGAGTTATTAAAATCTTTATAAATTATCAAATTTATTAAATCTAATTATTTCAAAACCTTATTAACATTTTGTTTCTTTACAATTGCGGTTCATCCAACGACTTTGATGAAAATGGATTGATTTTATTATATAAGACGGCAAATAGATTTAAAAAGACACTGCACATTTGTGAATATTTCAAAAACCTTTAATCGATTTTAATTGTATCAGGCGGAAAAAAAAAATTAAGACTAAACAAAGTTTTAGCTTTTCTTAAAACTAAATCAAAGTTTTAGCTTAAAACTAAAACAAAGTTTTAGCTTAAAATCTGTTTCATTATTATACTTTTTTTTTCTATTTAACATTAAAAAGCTGGAGGACTAATAAATTTATTTACTAGTAAAAAAAAAAAAGCCGAAAATTTAAAACAAATCCGATTGGTTGTTAGTGGCAAACCGAAAAACTTTTTATTTATTGGTATTTAATTTATGCAAACAAAGAGTTCGTAAATAATGGTAAAATATTATAAACAACCGAAGCGTCTGTTATAACAGTTTTGCTGGAGGAAAATTATAAAGACATCTTAAAGTGTTTGTTTGACATAATTTATGAACCTAATTACATTTTAAAAAAATATGCTACTTTTAAAAGCAGTTGGAATGAATTATGTAGTATATATTTCATTTTGCGCTGTGCTAACAACAAAAAGTTTTTATCTTAATACATAACTGAAGGCATAATCTCTGGCGTAGGAACAGGGGCGGAGGGGGTGATAGCCCCTAACTAAAACACTAGGGGGAGGGGGGGGGAGTCAGTGTTTTATGTGATACTTTTTGATGACAAAACTTATATATATTGTAATTGAAAAAACTTATATTTTTGTTCGGAAAAACGTGTACCATGCCTTAGTTGCATTGAGTAATATATTAAATTACATAAATTATGACATAAATGACATATACTAGCAGATATTAGATATCCAAAAAGCAGATATTAGATATCCAAAATGGCTACTCAGGTTTTACTTAACAGCTTTTTAACAAGATTCCAGTTTTGTAAATTTTTTAACTTTATATTATACTTTTTACTTTTTTAGTTTATTAAATCTTTTCAATTTTTAAACCCTTTTGTCGAACAAATTTTAACCAATTTTGCATATATTATCGGACACCTCATTTTTGGAAAAAATTATTTTGCCTAATTTTAATTTTGATCTACCTTCTTCTTTGCATCTTTTCAAAATTTAAGCTGGAAAATCTTTTACTCTCCTTGTCAGATTACAGTTAGTTTTTGTGAAGCTCATATTGCGATTTTCACTAAGGAAAGCTGCGAACTGTAGAAACATTACAGCTTATTGAGGCTTGCTTTAAAACTGTTGACAGTTGAAGAATTGCTTACTTTATCTGGTAGCATTTTCCATGCATTGACAATGCGATTGTTAAAAAAGTGGAAGCGAGCTAAATGGTTGCTGCACTTCTCACGATGAAGTCTTTCTCTGTGATTTGCTCTTGGTGGAATTGTTATGAGGAGAAAGTGCCAGTTGATTATGTCAATGTTGTTAACAATTTTGTATTTTTTTATGAGGTCACCTCGTTTGCGACGCTCAACTAGAGTAGATAGGCCAAGTTGTAAACAATTGGACTTGTGGTCTAACTTTTTCAGTTTGCCTGGTATTTTTGTGGCTCTGCGCTGTATTAGCTCAATAGTTCATCCTTCACCAAATAAGGGTTTCAAGCTGGAATTGCAAACTCAAGTAAAGGACGGACGTAGGTGGAGTAAAGTTGTTTCCATAAAGAAGCATCTCGGGACTGGAAAGTGTGTTTTAGGATGCCTAGCATTTTATTTGCTTTACACGAGGCAATGATGGATTGGGTTTCTACTTTAAGGTCATTGGTAATTTGAATTTCGAAGTCACGCTCAGAGGTGGTTGCTTTCAATGAAGTTCGAGTCGTTATTGAACGAGGGCATATTTCCTCCATTGAGTACTTGAAAGGAGTTAATTTTTTTCGGCCAAAGTGCATGACCTTGCATTTCTTTGCATTTAGCTTCATGAGCCAAGACTTAGTCCAATGAATAATTTGGTCAATATCTGATTGGAGTTGAAGTTGAGCAGTAAGTGAGTTGACAATGCTCAGAATTTTAGTGTCATCAGCGTAGATCTTACAAATGTTTTCTTTGCTTATTACATCTGGCAGATCATTGATGAAAATGACAAATAAAATTGGACCCAAGACTGATCCTTGCGGAACTCCACTTGTCACAGGTAACCAATTTGAATGAGTGTCACCAAGGATGACTCGTTGAGGCCTGTTAAGTAGAAAAGCTTTTATCCAATTGAGAAGATTACCTTCGGTTCCGTACATTTTTAGTTTGTAAAGCATTCGTTGATGTGGCACTTTGTCAAATGCTTTGGCAAAATCCAAGACTATGACGTCAACTGGTAGTTTTCTGGCCAAATTTCCAGTTAAGAAATCTATTGTTTCAAGGAGATTTGTAATGCATGCTTTTTACTCTAAAAAGCCATGCTGACTAATTGATAGAAGAGTGTTTGATTTTAGATTTCTCTTCTGGTGGTGGGAAACAAAATCTTGCCCTTCTAGTCATTCGCATTGGCATTCTATAATAGATATTTTGCATATGCCATATTTTCACTTAAATAATGCTATTCTAGTATTAAAAGTCACATAGCTTCTTTAGTTTAAGCTGTACATCAAGTGTCCGGAGTTACCCACCGTCCGGGGCTACCCGACTTTCCCCTATATTATTTAATCGTTACTGATAATGATTCTTTTAACTATATTTTCTGCTTTGGGGTTGTCCATAAACTACGTCACACTATAAGGGGGGAGAGGGGTTGGTGGTTTTGTGACGGACTCATACAAAACTTGCTTCTTAAGTGTTACAATTTTGTGACGAGGGGGAAGGGAAGGTCAAAAACTGTCAAAAAATGCGTGACGTAAATTATGAACGATCCCTTTTAGTCAAGTTTATAATTATAGTTTAACCTTAAACTTTTGAACGAGGTTGTAAAAATGTGAGTGTTTTCGGAATTTTTTTAATTGCTTTTTTTTGTATGTTAAATAAATCTTCAATTTATATTCATTTCGTTTTTTTCCAAGTTTAATTAATCTTTAAATTTTTGTATTAAATTTTATGATTATAATTATATTTC